CCAGGTACTGGCTGGAGGTCACCTGAGGAGCATGTGAATGCCCCTTCTCTCCCCCCTCAGACACCCGTGGGCTCTGCAGGAGTGGCTCCCACGAGAAGCAGGTCACACACTCAACACCCAGCAGTCAGATTCAGTGCCACCAGGTGAGGGCTACATTCGCTTCAGGCCAGAGGCCCACACACTGTCCTGAGTGACTCTCTGGGGTGTGACTGCTGGATTTACAGGCATCAGTGGGACTAGGCAGGGAGGAAGGGTCACTTAGCAGCAACAGCCAGGTCCTGGCACAGGCTAAGCATTCTCACAGACATGACCGATGTTACTTCTCGCAACGCTGAGTTCTACATGTGACTATAATCAATCGTAGGAGTAGTATAACAATTGTCAGGATGTTATTCATTCAGCAAAAGGGGACACAGTTTCAGAGAGAGGGAATGTGTGTGTGAGAGAGAAAGGCAGAGACAGAGACAGAGAGAAGGAGGAGGAGAAGAGAAAACAAGGGTTGCTAGGCATGGGGAGTGGAAGCTCTCCCCGTGGCCAAAGTATCATGCTAAGCTCTTTACATGGGTATTTCACTGGTCCCCCCCAGCAACCCAGCCGGGTCAGTACTATTGCTGGTCCCATTTTACATATGAAGGGGGTTGAGGAATTACCTAAAAGAAGCCCAGATAAGATGATGAAGCTAGAAGGTCCAACTCCAGCCATCTAAACTACTATGCATCTCTACAGAAGAGGCTGAAGGGCCCCTCCTGGTAGTCTCACTCTAGTTGACTTGGATGATGTCAAGAAAACTGTGAAACCTTCATTACTAAGAATGAGAAAACCCACCAGAACGATGTTCCCAGGCTCCACACCACAGATCCCAGACACCCTGTGCCTCTAGCCTGGAGACCAGCTGTATTCCCTCTGTTGCCCCCCACCGTCTCCCAAAAAATAGCTGTTGATTAAAAACCAGAATGCTAAAGAGTCTTTTTCTGACTTAAAGCATCTTACAACAATCAACACATGGGAAGGCAGAGAAAAATTCTAGGTCTGATTTTAATAAAATACACTTTTCTCATCAAAATATTTTGATAGCATGGGAAAGAGATGTGTGCTCATTAAAGTTTAATGAGTATATCTCCCTGCCATTTTCCATATGACGTTCACACACGGTGACTCATGCGTGGTGGGTGCTGGGAATAGTTAACTGAGAGCACAGCTTAACGCAGTCGCTGTCTTTACCATCACAGGGATGAACGCAATCCCGGACCAGATCCGTTCAGATGCAGGGAGGTGTCCGCTGGCCTAGCCGTTCGGGTGGGGACTCAGCTAGGTGGGCCCAGTGCTGCTGCAGGTTGTCCTCCCTGTGTTCTAAGAAGGGAGCTAGGTGAGAATGGTGGCAAACTGGCTGCTAGGCATCTGCAGTCCCAAGGCTGAGCTGGGGACTCCCAGAAGACAGTGCTTTGGGCAAAGGCTTTGAAGAAAGGGGAGAAAGAAAAGGGGTTCTAATTCTTGGAAGGGCAGAGATGACAATAGCCTTACATTCACGCTCCTGAATCTTCACTGGACCTGCTGTTCAGAGTCCATTACAGAGCTCCCATCCTGCCTCGCTGGGTTTATCTTCACTAGTCCTCTGCTCCCAGCCTGGACTCCAGCCAGGGCAGGCTTCTGGCTGCTCCCCACACCTGCCACCCACCTTGCCCCCGCCCTGCTCCTATGTTTTCCTAGGATCTGGAGTGGTCTCCTCATCCATCTCTACTGCTTGAAATGTTATCCATGAGGGTCATCTGTTATTCTACAGCCTTCCTTCACTCCACTCAAACTCATGGGATCTCACCTCTCTTGAAAAAACAGACCCTTTATTAAGGTGTCTCCATCTCCTACTTTCTGTAAAGTAGTGTGACAGTAGTATAGCCTAGTGGCCATGTGCACTGACTTCCAAGTCAGAAAGGCCTGGGTTGGAAGTGTCCCTCCTTCCCTTATCAGGCACATGATCAAGTGGCTTAGGAACAGCTGTAATAGCAACAGTCACAGCAACTGACATCCGCTCCGTGTTTACTGCTGGTCGGGCACGGGGTAACTCATATGCTCACGACAAACCTATGAAGTAAGTATTGCCATTATCTTGCTATTACGGACGAGAAGCAGAAGTTAAGAGAGGTCACACAGTTATAAAGTCAAGAAAATAGGCTTTGAACTCAGAGCCCACTGTGCTACAGGCATTGCCCTCTCTGATCCTCAGTTTTCTCATCTGTTCAATGAGATTACAACACCACCCACCTCGTGGAATGGTAGGGAGGACAAAATAAGATAATATGAGAGAAGCATGACAGTAGAAGGCTCAGTAACTTAGAGCTGCTCTCATCCACACCACCAGGCGCTGGCCTCCTCCCTCCTCCTGTCGTAAGGGCTGGGGGTCACGTCCTCGCAACCCTCTGTCTCCCACCCAGCCCCACCATGTGCTGTGCCCGCACAGTCATTGCAGCAACCTTGAGAGCTCCTGTCAGCTGGGCTCAAGGAGATGGCCAACGGGTCTGGCATTTTCCCAGAGCTTCAGGACGTGTGTCCTAGGTAATTCTGGACCCCTGAGCCACTGTGCTTTAGTACTTTCACTGCATTTAGTTCCCTCTCCAATGCCTGTTTTATGCCATTTATGTGACTCTGCTCCCTGAGGTCGCCTGTGTAACATTTCAGTGTGACGTTTTCTTTCTCCTCTCGTGCCTGCTTCTCCCACTCGGCCTGTTCTCTATGTGCTCTTTCCCTCCCTTGGTCACTGTCAGGACGGAGACTGCCACCTTGATGCCACAGCTCTGCGTTTCACTTCTTAAGTAGGCTAAGCAGCATCCCAGGTGCCCAGCCCATCAGACAGAGTCTCAGGAACCAGGGCCTCCTGCAGCCTTCGGGGACACCAGGGCGGCTTCCGGAGTGTGAGGTGCTTTACCCAGGATCCCCTCTCTGCCTGCCCAGATTTAGCTAATGTTGGTTAGCTACTGTTGAGGTTGATACGGCTGACGGGCTTAGTCATTAAGGGACAGTTCACATGAGGACGGTCCCGCCTCCTTTCCTGAACAACTGTGGCACTGGGCAGAAGCCAGACTTTCTATTTCTCTCCTGTTGAGTCCTAGTCTAGTGGCCCTGCCTCTAAATAAGCTTTCTCCAGGAACAGCATTCCTGGTACCTTTATGGAAATAAGAATTAAAAAAAAACAAAACACCACGTCTCTTTTTAAAGTACACCCTCCCAGTCCAGGTCACTCAACTCGCGGGAGAAGGTATTTTGACTCTGGCCCTTGGAAACTAAGCTCTTCTTTAAGTAAACCCAGAAGATGACTAACAAATAATCCTCCAAGTGAATAATGTCTATAAGATGAAAGCTCTTAATTTCCATTATACATCCTGTTTATGAGCAGTGGTGCAGTTAGGTCTGGCCTTTGGCGGGAAAGGTTCCCAGGTTGAGTTCATGGGTGAGAGTGGGAACGGGTGCTCCACCGGGGACCCCCGCATAGCACAGGGAGAGCCAGCCATGAGCCCATGGGTGGTGAGCAGGCCGCCCTGCTCAGCAGTCCCAGTACCTTATGTTCCTAAGATCACGTTCTCTCGGGATTGAAGGGACCTCTGGAGGAGCCTCCGTGCCACCTGTCTGTCTGCACTTGTCTCCAGTTCTGCCCGCAGAGCCACACGCTCTGTTTCACTCTGTCCCTTAAGGCTTCATGTACAGATGCTGCCATGATGGGCCTTGGCGGACCCCTGGGGCAAAGGAGCCCAAGAGATGTGATGATTTAGGCCTTTCTAGAGAGGAAAGGCCTGGCTTGTCTCCTCCACAGGCACTGCCTATCTGAGTTTGGGGGAGCCTCGTCGTTGGGGGATGGATTGTATGGCATCCACCCCACAGCACTAGGCCCAATGTAAGTGGCCATTTTGAATGCTACCCAACAGTTATTAGTATTACAGATGACTCACGGCACATGATTCATAAGACGCAAAACATGCGTTTCCTCCCTGACCATGACACCCCCTACCTCTGCCAGCATCTAAAATATGAGACTTTGTAAAACTTGGATTTATCTATCACTTGTGAGGAAGGCAGCTTAGGATCTGTGCTAATCATTCTTCATCACTTCAAGAAAAAGGTTCTCCAATGACCTGGGAAGGTCTCTAAGCCCTGGACAAGGCTGACTATGCTGTCAGCCCCCAGGTGCCCTGTGGAGGCATGAAGGTGACCCAGAGATGTGCTTACAGACGCTTACAGACTCCTGAAACATGGGGGCATGCAGGCTACCACCTCTGTCTTCTGTTCCCACCCATCTTCAGTCCTCCTCTGCCAAATTCCTCCAAATGAAACATTTGGGCAGAGATTTCTGGTGGTAAGTGGGGGGACACTATTAAAGCTACCAGCTAAACAGGCAAAAACCTTTTGGTGACAGAAGTCAGAAATGTGGTTATTTTGGTGATGGGGAAGGGGCAGGAGGGAGCCTTCTGGGATGTTGGAATCCTCTCTATGTTCACCTGGCTGTGGTTGCAAGTTGTATACATATATAAAGAGTCATTACCATCAGGTTGACATTTCTGTTTGCATATTGTATACAGTAAATTGTGACATTTACTATAAACATTTATATCTCAGTGAACAATAGTACTGTCCAAAATGCAGGTGGGAGGCCATCCAGGTGGTCCCCATCTTATGCCACGCCTGACCCACTCTGCTCTGGAGGCACTGAAAGTTCTAAGTATCTGTATCTATTGCACATCTCTATCTTCCTCCACAAGTGTGTTTATATACACAGGTTATTTTTATATCTGCAGCCACATCTATATATTTAAATCTGGAGAGGAGAGAAAATGTTATATGTGCATGTCTATTTATAGGGTGGTTTACTTCTTTCAAAGAACAGGAAGATCCTAGCTCCGTTTTCCTTCTTTTTTTTGAGCAGGACACACAATCTCTCTCTCACACACATGCTAAGCCTGGGTGTCTAATCAAGAAGCTTGCCTTTCTACCTTGTCTGAGGTGCTGGAACTGACCTGGATGATGACCGTGGGGATCATCAGCACAGTGGACTTCTGCTTGGCCAGAACATTCTTGGTCTCGTTGACGCGGGCTGTGACGAAGAAGTGCAAGGATGCTTGTTCCAGCAGCTGGCCCATGTACTCGCCTGCTCTGACCAGCACCTCCTCTCTCTTGACTGGCAAGAGGGAAAACAAACATGCGGGGCATCAAGACCTGAGGGGGGATCTGCTCAGCTTTCCCCAAGTGCCCCCATCTTTTCCACAATGGCAGAGCATCCTGCAGGAACCCAGCATAGGTGAGGAGCAAATGGAACAGGGCGTCCATCAGGACAAACTCTCTTGCTTTTGGGAAAAGAAAGAATGTGTTGGAAATTTAATATGCAGTAAAGCCTTTCTAGAGAAAATGTGTGAAATTTTCCAAACAGTGCTTTTGCATTAGTAAAATGAAACACCGTGACAAAGATGCTCAGAACCACCAAGGACAAGGGGTTTTCACTGCACCTGCTTTGATTTGGGCGGGCAGGTCCCGGGATGGCAGATGTGGAGGGGGAGGTCCAAGGCCATTGTCCCATGCGCTGTCTCCTTGTGCAGTGAGAACCAGGAGAGACGTCTCATGCAGACCATGGGCTATGCTTGAGCAAGACTGTCAACCACCTAGATCTCTTCCTTGTAGCACCCCACATTTTCCTTTCCAAATTTTTCTGTACTAGTCTGACATGATTTTTCTATTTAAGAGAAAGAAGCTGTTGAAACCAGTTTTCACCTGAGGCATTCAACTTTCTCCCACCCCCTCTCCTCTGTGCAAATGCCTGTTACCTCAGGGCACTGACGCTGGCTTTTAGGTGTTGAGGGAGGATGACGTCTGAGGATGGGGAGTGGTTCTGGCTCCCCCTCTGCTCACCATCTGGGCTAAGGGCAGGGATTCTGTCCCGTGGCTCTGACCACAGCAGGGAGGCCCTGTTTGGCTGCATTGCCTGCTGCCATTTCCCACAGCCCAGCGTTCTAGAGAGCAATGGGCAGGGCTTCTGCAGGCTGAGTCTGGGCCGCGGCGCAGCCGGCTGGTGTGAGCCTGGTGCTAGTGCTGTTATTAGCCAGCACGCCCAGCAGGGAAATGGGTGACTCTGGTCTCCATCCCCCATGCTCTGAACACAGGTGCAAAAACATTCCTGGAATAGAAAGTCTCCACCACCGCTTCCCTGCCCAGTGTCTGCCTTCTGCCAAAGAGTCCTCCTCCTTGTGGAAGTCAGTGAAGGACAGAAGTCCCAGAGTTGATAGTTTAAAGGGCAGAGGGTGGTTCACTGTTGCCCTCCACAATGATCCCCTGTCCTAGAATGAGGGTAGCATGCTGCGTGGGGGCAAGCGTGGGGCACCGGAGGGCCTCCTGCATTGTGGGCCCACAGGCGAGGGTGTATCAGGCCATGCGCAAATCTTCACAGGTGAGTAGGTGCTGAGCCTCTGGCCCTCTGGCTGAAGAGCTCCGAGTCTTGGCTCCACATCCCAGCCACGTGGAAACACTTAAATATCTGCTCTGCTGGATCCCACCCCAAACCAATTAAATCCGAATCTTGGAGGCTGCGGCCCAGGCATTGTAAAAGCTCTGCAGCTGACTCGACTGTGCAGCCAGGGTTGAGGAGCACAGCTCTAACAACCAGGGGACTAGCCCCCCAGAACCAGCCCTGTAGAAACCTTGGTTCAAGTGGAAGGTACACCCTTCAACACAGGTGCTTGCTGCTCCACGTGTGGTCCCAGACCAGCAGCGTCATCGCCTGGAGCTTGTTATACACACAGCTTCTCTGCTCCACCCCAGCTTGAGAAGATCCCAGACAGAGTTAGGGCAGTCAGCGTGGACTTAGGAAAGTCTCAGTTTGAAAAATGAAACTCCTGCACACCAGACCCTACTTAATTCCTGGCAAAGGTTGGCCAGCCTAGACCAGTGGTTGCCAGCAATGTTGCGCCTCACTCCCCAGGGGATGTTGGGTAATGTCTGGAGACAATTTTGTGACATTTTGTCAAAACTAGGGATTGCTACTGGCATCTAGTAGACAGAGGCCAAGGATGCTGCTAAATATACTACAGTACACAGGACAGTCCCCACGACAATTATCCAGCCTGGAATGGCAATTTGGTGCCTTGGCCAAGAAGCCCGGCCCTAGGCTGTGCAGAGATATTAGGTGGATTGGTCCATCTAGACAAGGACTAAATAGCTTGGCTTGATTGCTAGGCAGTCCTTTTCCATTCAGAGTCACCCTTTTGAACCTATGACCCTGCCTTGACCTTGGTCCTCAGAGGCTGCCTTTTTGAATGACCCTCTCCTACTGCCTTCTTTGGGCCTGAGCCTGGACCCTGCTTCTTCCGCGGCTCCCCTTGCCATTCATTCTCCAGATACATAAGACTCTGTCCCTCAGTTGGTTACAACCTCAGAGGAGCACCTGGGGTCTATTTTTCACTTCCCAGATTTGGATAGATGGAGTGGCAAGGTGACAGGCCTTGAAGATGCATTTTGCCTCTGGCTGCCATCAGTGTTAATACAAAAATGGACTACCTCCTACCTCTGGCTGTTTCTGGAGGTCTGTGTTTGACTGCTAGGTTCCTTTAGGCTGGTGGGATGTGCCTGACTTCTTTCTACCAGTCTTTACAGAGGCTTTTGCTGCCTTTGTAATGGCAGCATCAGGATCCCCTTTATTCTCCAAGGTAGAACATTCTCTAAATCATAGCACTAAAGAAACTGGGCTGTTCTTCCAAGCCCAAGAGAACAGTGCTCCTGAAATAGTACGTTATGTAAGTGCTATGTTTTCCCATTGCACAAGAAATTGTTCTAGATAAAGTTTATTAAACATGGCAAGAGAAAGAAGAATAGATTTTCATTCTGTGAGTGGTGGAGCTGGGACCCTGCCAATATCATTTACGGTATCTGGGGAAGGCCAAGGGAGCCACAGACTGGAGCTGCCTCATCTCTTTTCCAAAAAGCAAAGAAAACTAAATATAGCCAAGTGGAAATGATAGCACCTTTGAAGGTACTAGAAGGTTTAAGTTATTCAAATCCCCCAGGCTGATTCTATCAGCCTTACTCATCAATCTGGAAAGTATGCGTCCCATCCTGCTTGGAAAACTTTCTTTGCAATAAAGCCTCCTAGGAACTCTGACCTGCTTGGTCAAGGTCTAGAATCTTGTGACTTTTTGCAATAGGTTGCAATTTATTTTAGACTGCAATATGCAATTTAATGCCACCTTCCTGCAGAGAAAAGCAGGAAGCAGTCTCCAACTGCCTTCAAGCTATTCAGGACAAGCCTTGGGGTGGGCTGAGCAGGTGGGTCCTGTGTCTTAGATTTGATCAGCAGTATCTGGATCCATGACTGAGAGGGCTAATCTGTCATGCCATTCCAGCCTTCTCACTCTATAAGCTCTTTACTTCATTGTATGAGGGAGAGAAGGCAAGGAGACTGAGAGATGGAACCCCCATGTGGTGGGAAAATGATGGCATGGAGTTCCCTGCCTGGGGAGGGAGTGGCAGCTAGATTCCGGGTGGTGGGAGCTTGGGTACAGAACAGTTCCTGGGCCGTCGGACCCGTGGTTAGCCCCAGCTCACTACCATTGCCTGAATGGGACCTGACTTCTGTGACCTGTTTTGCCTCTAATTGCTCTGTGTGGCCTTGAACATATCAACACATAATTCCAGTTTCACTTTCCCCAAATGTAAACATGTTGCAAGTTATTTACTGAGAGCCTACCATGTATGAAGCACTTCACATATATTCTCTCATTTAGTTTCTTCCACATGCTCCTCTCTCACACCACATGCCCAGTATGCCACCCAAGCCGTTGGGCTCTACCTTCAGAACAAACCCAGACCTGACAACGTCCCACTACCTCTTTTCACGACCACCACCTTCTCCCACTGGACTATTGTGACAGCATCCGAACTAGTGTGGGCCTTGGCCCTACCGTCTCTTCTCACGCAGAAGCCAGAATTACCTCTCCCACCTTTAGGGATAGGAAAAATGCTAGATCTTCCAGTTTCCAAAGACAATACCATGGTGATTTCATAACTGTTAGCCGCATTACTGAGGCCAGGGAGATTTGCTTCCTCAAATTTGGGTAGGTTTCTCATAATTAGGATTTTTAGGGGTAGTTGCTAATTTTTCTGGGAGTATCTTTCTGAAACCTCCCAGGGTACTCTGGGACTTGGGGCAATTTCTGAAGCCAGAATGCCTAAAACATTTGAGATGAATGAACTTTGTAAAACTTGTATATTTCATACTTTTTCTTTTTTTTCTATTTCTGTGTCACACATTAGGTTCACAGAAATCTGAGGCCCTGATGTGTTTCATCCTTTCCAACCTGCTCTGTCTAACTTGACATGTTCTGCCTGGAGACCAGGTTTTCTGATTGGCTCATTTTGTCTAGTGGTTTGTGCCCCCTCAATACTAGCAACCCAAGGAATGTGGACGGGTGGAAACTGCAATCCCTAAGGTAAGCTGTAGCATATTGACCCAATCCAGCTTAAAATATTCTGAACTCTTATAGTAAAGAAGATGCTTTGGGAGGGCATGTATATAAGGGAGGTGACAAAGGGGTCCCATGAGGGTTGATTAAGAAAGAAAAACCCTTCAGAGGCTCCTGGACACACACGTTGAATCTCCAGTCTCCTCTCCCAAGGGTGGGCTCTCCTCTGTCCCTGTGCATCAGACAGATCATCTTTTAGAAACAGCCTATATGCACAGCTTAGATGCCCCTGCCTTCCAAATGGTAAAGCAGAACACATCATTCCTTCTGCACAGAACCCAAAAGCCCTTCCTGACTTGGGAAGATAGACACTCACAGAGGTCCAGCTTTCTGAGGGGTGTGTGTATCACAGACTTCCCCATGCATCCCAATCCCCTTGAGATCCCGATCCCACAGATCTGGGGTGGGGCCAGAGAGTCTGCATTTCCCACCAGCTCCCGGGGGGTGCAGATGCTTCAGGTCCTCAGCCCACACGTAATTTTCCCTCATGGGGCTCTAGGCTTTGAAAATTTCAGTGTTCACTTGCATGCGTGAGATATGAAGTCAAGTGGAGGCCTCTCTAGAAGTGGGTTTTCTCTTCACACTCCTGTGTGTGGGCAGCACTTTTAATTCTGACAAAATGTCATTAGTGAGTGTCAGCACTGAGCTAGATAGGGAGGCAGATGAGAGTCCCGGAGAGAAGAGCCCCCCTTGTTAGCTTACAGGACAAGGGATCCAGCCTCACGTCGAATGTCTCCTTCTTGAATTCTGCTGTGGAGACCCCGGTGTAGAAGATGATGTTGCCTGAGAGATAGGCTGAGACGCTGTAGTGATTGGGGCTATTGTTCTGGAAGGTGATGGTGACCTTGAAGTCTTTTCCCAGCACGGCATTTTCCACTTCAAAGTCCATGTCCACGTCAGACCTCGGCTTGATGATGCCTTCTGTGTTGACCTGTTTTTTAGCCCCATACATCATTGCGGTTTCTAGGGCCAGTCTCTCTTCCTCTTGACCTAGGAAAGATGCAGAGATAATAGGGAAAAAGAAATGCAATCCATCAAAGAGAAAGCCACATTAATGAGCACACTGTTGGATTGCCTCTATGAGCCACATAGCTCCCCTCTGGGGCAGGTGTCATCAGATTCTGCAAAATTGAGCTCCTGGGCAGTTATGACTTGCCCAGGATACCGAGTTAGGCAGCATCTCAGGGCCTATCTGAAAGGGGCTGGCTTCCAGTGTTGTTTCTCCAGTGCTGCTATTTCAGAGTTCAGCAGGTGGAACTGACAAAATGTAACTCTTCTCAAACTGTGGTGTCCATTTGCTTCACTTCCCAAGCCCTACATGAAGCTAGAATTTGGGAATCTCTAAGCAAAGATGTTTGGCAACAGTTGCATCTTGCCATTCCACCTGCAGCGTGAGTTTTGTCCTATTCATTCATCTCCCTGACAAGACAAGAACAGTCTTCTTCATCGTTCTCTCCCTGGGCAGCTCCCATCCTGCCCTCCACTCTTTCCTCTGTTGAATTCTGTCCCTGGCAAAGAGCAGAGATCACTTTTTCCCAAACAGGGCATTGGCTCTTACACTCAGATCTAGCAAATTGTTAACAAATGTTCTCTACAAAGATGCTTTAAGGCCAAGTTCCCTTGGAGAGCACTGGGTCCTCTAGTGGCTCCTGTATATTCACAGTGTTCATTAGCCTATCAAAGGTTCTGAGACTTGAGCTCTACAGCGAGGAGACCTATTTAACACAAGATTTCCCACAATCATTTGACACTGAACATATTTTTTTTGAGGGACACCTATGGGCAATTGGTGATGCACTGAAGTTCTAATGCAGTTTGAGATATGTGTGCTGCTTTCAGGAAAACGTCTTATGCAGGGTTTCCAATGTGGTGGTGGTGGAGAGGAAGACAGGGAGAGGAGGAGAAGGGGTGGGCTCCGGAAGAAAAAAACTTGCTTTGTGCAGGTGAGCAAGGGAGGAATACAGGTACAAGGGAGGCCTGACAGCTTGTTGTTCCCAACTCCAAGCTGGGCTAACATTCCCTACAGAACATGGGACAAAATGCTTGGCCCTAGGGGGGTCAGGGCTTGAACAGGTGTGCAGGGATCATCAATTTTCTTTGCCATTCTGCTGCCTCTGGGTGTATCATAGTGTGTGTGGAAGACAGGCGAATTCTTTGGCTTGTAAAAGCTAGGCATGGAATGGCTAGCAAAAAAAATCATTTTGAAATAAAAAAGCTGGCTTTCATAATCACACTAGTTTTAAGATATTGTCTTCTACTTTGCTTAGTTAATATGAAATGTGATGGAAATGAAGAGGCCAATTAATAATAATAACTATCACTGAGAGCTCATTGTGGCTGGTGTTGTGGTAAGAGTATGTTGTGCATTATCTCACTGAATCTCCAGAACAACTCTACAGGGAAGGTCCTGTTCTCACAGTTTCCTTGTTTGTGAAAGAAAGGGTGTCTACAGCACAGGGTTATTCAGTGGATTAGAGGTTGTCCATGCATAAGAATTGGAACCTACTAGTACTTTGCAAAGATGGAGAAAATTCCAGCAGGTGCGGCAAACAAACGTGAAGGTGCAATTTGTGTGTCTGTATATTAACAATTTCTCTGATTGTCAAGACTGCAAGGATGTGCCCAAAACAATAGGTCTAGGGCAACCCCTGGTGAGAGCATGTGTTCACAAATCAATAGGAGGGAGGTAATAATAAAGGGAAGGGAGGGGTTATGACAAGGAAAACTGAAATATTTTAGCAGAAAGCATCTGGGGAATAGCTCCGTAAGAAAGAGAGCATTAATGATTATCACTTTGGACGGGCACCAAATATGCATTTAGGGAAAATGCAAGAGGCTAACACCAGCAGCAGGAATGTGGTCTGGGAGTCGCCCCCTTGAGGGAGAGAGGCTGACCTGCCCAGGTGAGAGGAAGCCCTGGGGCAGCTATGAGACTGTAGTGCCTGCTGTGGATGGAGGAACCTCTAGCTTCCTCCTGGGGAGCAGCTTCCCTAGAGCTGGAGCTGCCAGGCAGAGGCAGCTGGGGATGCTACGGGAAGTGCAGACCCAGAGGAGAAGCAAGCACGCGGGGATTCCCAGAGCTCTGCAGAATTCTTGTCTCTCTGCAGTTGAGCTTTATGCTCAGACGTCTTACATAATTCAGGGCGATGAATTTAGTGCTGTGGGAGAATGCTCTATAGCCAGATTATATTTTCTAAGCTTCCGCTGTGGCCTCCAGCTGTAAGGTCAAAACGTCTTTCCCTTGACTAGGATGTAATGGAAGTGCCCTTTCAGTCTGATGAGGCCTCTGCTCACTGTTTGGGTCTTAGTGTAAATACCACCTTCCCAGAGTGCCACACCTGCTCCCCCACCTTACCCTGCGTGATGTGTTCCTAATCCTAACTTCTCATCTCACACTAACACATCACCTGGCTTTCTTTCCTTTTCCCAGTACTTGTTGCTGTGTGACATTATTTCCTGAGCTAGAATGCAAACACCGTGTCTCCAGGGCCTATGGCCCAGCCTGGCCCAAGGGCTCTGAAGGCTCAAGGTTTGTAGAAGCACTTTGCTTTCATCCAGGGACAAGATTCTTATCTTTATAATAGGTACTAAAGAGACCAGTTTAGGCCATTGATGTTCAAGTCAGCTCACCTGTGCAAGTGCCTCCTGACTTACTCTTAGATTTTCAGGCTAGTCAAGCCCCTAAAATGTCCCTGCACTGTGCTAGGCTCAGATTAGCAGCTCAGTCCTTCCCACATGGGTCTCAGGACAAGGGAGAGGGATCAGACTTGTATCCATCACAGACACTCGGTCAGGTGTTTGCATGTTGGTGCCTGGGACATGGGAGAGACTCAGCACCTTCTGGGGGCAGGGAAGGCCTCTCGGAGCATTTTTTCCCTCCACAGGGAGTAGCCATGGAGATAGAGGGAGAAAATGAATTTGAACCACCAAAGGGGCATCTAGATGCTCTGGGGCTTGAATGATTCTCAAGTTGCCAGATCTGGGTGGATTGTGGATCTCTTCACTGGGGTAGGGAGCATAGGGAAATAGATCTGGGGTGGAGAGAAAGTGAGAGAAGGCAGAGTTTGAGGAGGGTCAGTTCAGGTTTCTAGGGGAGATTTTGGTGAATGTAGAGCTGAAAAGTCGAGGCTGGCGACACTGACTTGGGAATGATCAGTGTGTATGTGAACTAACCCCAGCTATGTAGAAAGAACAGAACGTGGGTGGGGATGAGGACCAAGGGCTGATGCCTGCAATGAAGTAACATTCAGAGGGACTGAAGAAAGGGGAGCTTGGAGTTGCAGAAGGCAATAGAAAAAAGTGGTAGTTCAGGATGGAACCAAGGAGAAAGCTGTATCATAAGAAGGAAGAGAGACTCTTAAGAATTGGAAGAGAGCAATAGCATCACAAGATGTGGAGGATCAGGCAAGCTGAGGTCTGCAAAACATTTATTCCATGTGGCAATCAGGTGGTCTCAACCTTGAGAAGAGCTTCAAGGACATTCTGGTATCACAGCTCAGGTATGATAGGTGAGGAATAAAGGGGAAGGCACAGGACAGGATGCCAAGGGAGGGCAGCTCTTTTAAGACACCTGGCTGAGGAGGCAAGGAGGGAGAAAGAATGGGCCATGTCTGGTGGAGGCTATATTATTGAAAAAGAGTTTTGCGATTGTTTTTAACACATGACGCTTGAGCCTGCTTACATGTGAATGGAACGGAGCTGATGGAGGAGAGATTTACAAGAGTGACAGAGCGAATACTGGGTGGAGCCAAGAGGAAATGGGACCCAGTCACCACCATAAAAGAAGACATATGGCCACAAAAGTTTTAAGAATTCTGGTTTTCAAGATTTTATAGTCTCATCTTTTATTTTGAAAAAAGATATGACATTAACATTAAGCTTTAGTCCCTCAAAGTGAACAACATTCTTTCTACAATTTAATTAAAATAGCTAATTTCTAAAAATGGAAGTAATTTTCTTTTCTATGTTTTTACTCCCCTCACATTCTCGTGGCCACATTCAGCATTTGTGGGTCAAAAAAAAAATGATACAACAGATTCAATAATGAGAATCAGGGTGGCAAATGCATGACCATGGATGGTGGGGGTCTCTGCTGGGAGCCAAGGGAGACATCGATCATTACTTGCTCTTCCCCACCACATCGGGGTGCAGTCTCTAAACAGCACACCCACGTGCTCATTCCCAAAGTTAGAATTTGAAATTCACATGCCATCCTTGATTAGGAGGCAAATTATCCACCTGGGATCAAACTCCAGCCCAGAAGAAGCAGGATAGAGTATCTCTTAAACTGTCTGAGATTTAGGGGTTCTTCTGCTTTGACCAGACCCTACAACCTCCGCCAGCCTGGGCCTGGCCCTCCTGCCAGGCTCTGGAGGTATGGGCCTCACGAGTCTTCCTCATTCAGAGTTGGCACGTTTAATTTGATTGAGCCTGGTGTCCACTCTGGCCAAGGCCCTGACTCCTCTTTCTTGGACTGCTTTGGGGTCCTTCTTTGGTGACAGCTTGGCCTTCGCTGCCACCTCTGCGGATGACAGCTAATGGGAATGGCACTTGGCTGTGTAGTTTCAACAAGACAGCCGGCAGCTTGGACAGCTACCTGTAGGCATGGCTCTTATTCCCCACACTGTCCGCTCAGGACTGTTTCCACACTGGGAGGGTTTATCCACAAACCCTGTCCTCCCGTCTTTTCCTGAAGAACTCCCTCCCCGTGATCCTCCTAGTCAATGTCTGTTTCCCCTTCCGTCTCAGAGAGCCCTGAGTCTGGCCCGGGAGCCCTCTCTCTGTGTCCACCCTGGTTCGGGGCGCCTGCCATGCAGCTTGCTGAGGGGCTGCCTCCCCCTCCCCTCTCCAGCTGGCTGGGAAGGCAAGGCTGAGCGTATCTCCATCCTGAGCAGGACTGGGAATAGAGTGAGTGGGAATAGAGCAAGTTGTTGAATGGATGAAGGAATAATGGCTGAATGTTACAGCTAGTTTCTTTTACTCCTTCTTTTTCCTTTCCAAACCTTTGCCTATAATTCTGTAATGAGAGGTCATTACTTGTTTGTTTTGTTTTATTGTATTTATGGTGCCTCTTTTTCTCTCTTTGCAGGAAAAAGCCAAAAAGAAAAAAAAAATCTTTTGTATTTCTATTGTGCAGTGGATGATAAACAACAAAAGTGAAGAATGAACCATTTCAGAAATAGAGCAAAAAATCACTAATTCAGAGAACAAAAATCCTGAATTTCTAATTACCATGCACAAGAGTTCTCAATTCAGCAAGCTTTCTCTTTATAGTGCAAATTGATTTTGTAAATAAGAACAGAGGGAATGTCTAAAACATTGAAAACAAATTCTGCACTCCTTAGCACTTCAGGAATACTGATGAATATTTACGTATATTATATGCTAGTTACTCATCATTTTTACCCATTTACTAAAATAAATGCCATTCCTAAAAACCTCTGCTGGTGGACTCATTTGTAAAATGTACTCTATGTTCCCCATCAAGACACCCAAGGTCCTCTACCATCTGTCCACTTCTAAGCTTTGTTTCCAGCCACTGGGCCCTCAACCTTACATTTTAGTCATGTCTCCAGGGCCCTAAACACACAATTTACTTTCCACCTTCATGCCTTTGATCACGTTCCTACTTCCTGGAGACCCCTTTCTATATTTCTTTAGCCACAGTCTGTGACATCTCTTACACAGCTTCACGTTTTCTGAATCTCTTGGCTGGACCAAGTATCCTTCTTTCTTTGTTCCCAAGGGCCCTTCTGCGTAATGATCCTATCACTTGGCCTGGAACAGAAACTGGGTCCTGCTCACTGAGGGAATCCCTGGCACTAAACCCAATTCCAGGCATTGAGTAGGTACTCAGTACTTACTGAGATGGAATTGAACTCAAAGCTCCATTGGAACCATTCTACACAATAAAAGTTAACAACACCATCCTAACAGTATTTTACAGTTGAATAGGCCTTCAACCTAATTGGGCTGAATGAGTGAGATTGCACTGTCCTATTAATATTTTATCATCTACCTCAAGGGATTTACATGATGATTCAATGGAACAATGCATGTGAAAACAGTTTGTAAAGTACTAAACAAATGTGAATAGCTATTCAAATTTCTATTATTGAACTAAAATATATTAGTTATATAATGTTTCCTAATATTTCCAATAAGGTTCTTTCATATTTTTGTGAACTAGGATGTGCCCTATATTCTATTAAAATAGACGACTTGAAGCCAAATCATTTTTATAAGCCATGTAAGGAGAATTCTGCTCAAAGCAAAATCACAATGAAAAATAGTGGGTGTGATATGTCTTTCACTCATGAGAAGTTATACCAAATGCTGCAAATGCCAGTACATTCTCTGGGACACATGTCAGTAACAGAGGGTGAGTACTAAATGGACTTGGGCAAAGAAATCTTCACTTGATTGCAACAAATTACCTTCTTGGAATTTGTAGGTATCAGTAATATCATTTATGCCATCTCCTCCAATTTGTTTGGTCACAATTAATTTCCCGATATGGGTAGCATCAACAGTTTCAACCACATGAGTGCCATCTTTCTTAGCTGTAATGTAAACAAGGTCACTGTTGACCTAAAAATAAAAGAGGAGAACATTAGCTACCACCAAATATCCTTGCCACCAAAATCTCTCTCAGTGGTCATCATGAATCCCTCGAGTTGACATTTATTTCTTCAGCACCTTGTTTTTTTAGGGTTAAACTTGTTTTAAAATAGTATGAAGAGGAATCTGGTTTAATCATCAGGTATTTTATTTTATTTTTTTTATTGAAGTATAGTTGACAGGCAATATTATTTAATTTCAATGATTTGACAATTATATACATTATAGAATTAAAAATTAAAAACAGAACTACCATGTGACACAGTAATTCTCCCTTTGGGTATTTACCTAAAGAAAACAAAACACTAATTCCAAAGGATATACACACCCCTATGTTTATTGCAGTATTATTTCTAGTAGTCAAGATAGGAAAGCAACTTAAGTGTCCGTTGATAGATGAATGGGTAAAGAAGATGTTGTATAGTGTTGTATAGTGGTATATCCCTACACACACACACACACACACACACACACACACACACACAGTGGAATATTATTCAGCAATAAAAAAGAATGAAGTCTTGCCATTCACAACAACATGGATGGACGTATTTCTGCCTTTTATTGTTTTTATTTGTTTGTTTTGTTTTTAGACTCCACATGTAAACCTGCTACTTGCAGCCAAAAGCATTTTAATTGAAAAATAATATTAGAATATCCAGGAGAAATTTAGGCAGTTTTCTGGTGGTTCAACAACTAAACTATGATATTTGTAGGACCTGGAAATAGCATCTTGGGTGTAAATTTGTGCCTTAGAGTTCATTCCCCCAGAGTCCCTTATTATATTCTTCATAATCACTTTCTCAGGATTCAATTTATTAGCATGGAAGCAGGTAGGAAACCTGAATTGAACTGACCTATTGGCTGCTCCAGTTGAAAACAGTCCCTGATGTATTGACTAAATGTTTTCCAAGCCTCAGTTCCCTCCTTTCTTGAGTAGGGTAATCATAGCTCCTTCCTCGGGGTGGTTGGAAGCATGAACTGGAATAAATGTCTGCAAACTACTTATCATAGTAGCAGGCATAGAGCAAACACTCAATGAATGTTAGTAACAATGGTAATAATAATAATAAATTAATAGAATTGCCAGATACTTTTCAAGGTGCTGGAATCCTAGTGATGAACAAAATAGATCTGATCACCACCCCGATAGGGTTTACACTGCTAAGGGAGATTTTATGCATCAGAATCACCTGGGGAGCTTTAAAAGAAAAAGGCTATTCAAGGAGGTCTTGGTGAACTAATATTATTTTAAAAAAGGTCTTAACTAATTCTACTGGACATCCAGGTCTGAAAACCCCTGCAATAAAATACAATAAGTATCTTTCAGAGGAACATCACGATGCCATGGGAGCCTCCGGGGTCAGGTGAGGGGATGGCTAGGAAGTAACAGCAGGTTGAAAACCTGGAAGGTGCATTGGAGTTAGTGGACTAAAGGATCTCACTGGAAGTGTTCTTATAGACAAGCCAAGCAACAAAGAACTCGCTAAATAATACATGGAAATTTTTGGAGGTGAAGGATATGTGTAGTTCCTTCGTTGTCTGCTGGCATCACAGACATGTGCATATGTCCAAACCCACCAAGATGTATATGTTAAATGTGTGCAATTTTCATATGTCATGCCCCAATAAAGCTAAAAAACATAAAGCAAAAAAAAAAAAAAAGAGAGAATGGAAGAGAATTCTGCTCAAAGCAAAACCGCAATGAAAAATAGTGGGGGTGATTTGTCTTTCACTCATGATAATTTATACCTGCTGTAACAGTTGTGAAGAAGCTATTTGAGAGACGTACTAGATTAGCTGTAGAAACCTGGGTTCTCATCTTGGATGTGTAGTTTTGGAAAGTGCCCTTAATCTTGCTGGGCTTCAGTTCTTCTATAAAATGAAAATAATTATACCTGTTCTGCCAATTTCATAGAGACATTTTAATAAGATAGGATGGAGATAGGATCTATAGGAGCATGACTTGTAAACTTTAAAACCAAGTAAAAATGTAATTGTCATTACTAGGTAATGGGAAAAGTAGATGATAGATTCTTAACTTAGAAAGAGAGTAACTTTTCTCTACTTTCTCATAAAGTGCTCTGAATTCATAAATGATCTCTAATAAACAGAATGTTAGTAACCAGCATTTATTGAATATGCATAATGTTTCAGGATTAGGAATATTTAAACATTATTTAACCTTCATAGCAACAATCCTATGAGGTTTGTATTATTCCTGTTTTACAGATGAGGACACCAAGACTCAGAAGGGCAAGCACCATGTGTGGTCACTAGCTGGGAGCTGGTGGAGAAAAGTGCAAATCCAGCGCTGGCCACAGCCTGCCCCCTGACCTTCACCCAGGCTGGCCCACAGCCCGCCCCCTGACCTTCACACATGCCGCCTCTTCTAAGTCACCCCACAGGACAGCAGCCACCACCTTAAGGTGTTTATAGTTCTATTCTTGTGGCTCAGTGGTTCCATGCTTGGGCCTCAGATTTCTAAGGAGATAAATGGTGGCCCTACTCCTCAGCAGAGTAACCTGCACTTGGTGGCACTAGCCATATGATGTGAAATCAGGAATCAGAACAGAAGATGACAGAGTAGACACCTAAGGAATATTTGTCGTTTTGGAAAAAAAAAAGTTAAAATTTAAATGAGCTTCCTGAGAATTTCAGCTTTCCCTCTGGAGGAGGCCATGCAGGCACAAACAAATCCCTCCTTCACTCACAAATTATAGCAACAGTAATGATCAATACCCTCTTAATATCAGCCCCTCCGACAGCTTACAGTTTTCCAGGGAGACAAGGCTAAATAAGAAAGAGGTTAAATCCTTGTCTCCTTGTACATAGCTTAGGAAATCTATGTACTAAAATCTCAGGCCGGCCCATCACTGTCCCTGTGCAGAGAGGAGAAGCACACATACAAAGTGGCTTTTGCGTAAGTGTGTTAGATGGTTGGGGTGGAGGGAAAGGGTTCTTTCGAGTTAACATCAGCAAGCTGTCCTTGTGGTCTCAGCCGCTAGTGTGGTGGTTCTCCATCCTGACTGCACATCAGAGTTGCTGAGGGGTTTTAAAAAGTACCAGTTAGAATCCCCCAAGCAAGACTAATTACATGTATATAGCAGAACAGTTTTAAGTGCAGGGGAAGAAATATTGGACCAAGGCTGTGTGACTCTGGCTAAATTACTGGATGTCTCTGAGCCTGAGTTTAATAATACCATTTGTGCAGGGCTGGGAGGTAGATCCATTACTACCAGAAACAGCCCTATGTTTAAGGCCAATTTATTTTCAGTGGAAAGTGCTCTTCTGAGGGCATATGGAAGCCGTAGACCCCCACGTGGCCCAGGAGCCTGTCTGGCACAATTGCCATGCATCCACCCAGTGCCTGCCCCTCCTCCAGCCTGCATTGGCTGGCTACCCTGCCAGGGCCCCATGCATACTCTTGCTGCTTCCCATGCGCCTCGTCTCCCACCAGGCCCACCAGTGCTTGGGGGTGTCATCAGGCCCTAACACTCTGAGATACTCTTCTTAGCAGTGTACTCTGCCCCAGCTTTTGTTTGCTTGATGCATTCATTCATGCCATCATTCATTCATTCAACAAGTATTTATTCATGAGTAGTGCCAGAACTTGCTTTCAATGTTGAGGATCCAGCAGATCCTACCTTTGTGGGGCTTATATTCTAGAAGGGAGAGAAATAATAACACTAAGGAAGGGTGGCATAAGAGCAGCAGGGCAGGAAGTGATGTCTTAGGTGGGGGTGGGGGGTGGGAGGGCCTTTTTGAGGGGAACCTGAGCAAAGATTGGCATGTAGAGAAGGCAGACATACACAGGCAGGAGGATGGGGTCGGGGGGAGCTTTCCCAGCCAGAGGAAAAATACATGCAAAGACTTGGAAAAAAGAGCTTATTTGGATGTTTCTAGAAAGCAGGAGGGTCAGTCAGTATGGCTGGAGGGAGGGATAAGTAAGGCATGGGGTAGAAGGAAAGCCAGGGGCCAGATCCCATAGAGTCTGTGAAGACTTATGCTGAGTTTCATTGTTTTTCAATGAGTATTTTTTGATGCATGATATTTTCTGGCAAGATGTAATAGGAAAGTTAGGAGGAAAAACCAAGGTGATTCCAAGGTTTTTGTGTCTTATCCCAATTAATACACAAATTATTTTAGATCAGAAGAGAAGATGCCAAAAAATGGGCTAACAAGTGGTAGTAAAATAACCAACCTGGAATTGAGGATGAAGAATCTGCAAAGAAACATGTGCCCAGTTTGTATACAGAGAACTGCTGGCTCAGAGCTGGGGAAGGCATAGCGTCTGGAGCAGTGGAGTGGTTACTGCGGGCCTGAAGTTGCTAGCTCAGTGCCAGGGAGGGAAGGCAGGAGTGTGTGTGTGTGTGTGAGTGTGAGTTTGGGGTGCAGTGGTGTAAAGGGGACAGCAGAACAATCAGAACAAACTAAGGTAGAAGAGAAGCAGCAAGTCCTGCGTGAGCTGGGGACTCAGAAGACGCCTCCACATGCTTGGACCTGCTCTGCCTTCTGATCGGCCCTTTGGGAGCCCCCGGCTACTGGATGCTGGGGAGACAAAGGGCAGATGGGTCTCCAGAGAGGAGGCACTCGCTGGAGCACTGAGGGCACGGGAAGGGAGAGGGTAGACAAAGAAGCCTCAAGCCCTGGGAGAAACCTAGAAATGTGAAGGGTAAATTTCCAAAATGGAGAAGAGTGAAAGGGACAGAGATAGGATGCTTTCCCTCTTATGTGGGGTTTTGCTTTCATGAAAGGAGACCAAGGCCCCGAGGAGAATAATAATGACGTGATGTTTGATCCGGCCCGGAAGTGAGTAAGCAATGACCAAAAAAGGCAGCACGCCAGAAGGCCGGAACAGGAAACTCCGGCAGACGCATCTGGGCTGGTGAGAGGCAAGCTTGTGCAGCAAGATGGGAATGAAAGGTGAGGATGCAGCTAAGCCTGAGTCATGGAGACGCTCGTTCAAGTTGAATATGACGCCTCCCATGGGGTCCTACTTTAGGCTACCTTGAGGAAAGATTCCTCATACCCTCTTCGACAGCTCAAACATCTCTTATAAATGGCTCAGCCCGGGAGCTCAGCCCATGCCAAAGCAACAAATTGTACGCTCTGCCAGACAAGTCTGTGGCGGGTGCGAGAGAAGTAATTATAATCTGCAAATCCTGATGACATTCATAACACCCCGATCTATATTTAATAATAGCAAAAAGTGTTTGCATTAATAGCTATTAGGCAATTCACTCTCGGAGGGAGGTTTCTCCCTCCCTCTTTCTTTGCAGTAATAAAATATAATAAAAATATAAAAGCAAGGCTTTCTGAATTTTAGAGTGATTTCCCATTAAGAGATTCTCATAGTGTCATAAACTATCAGATAGCAGCTGAGGAGGTTTGGATAAATCTTCAAATCCTAAAGTGAAGTCAAGGGACTAAACCTGCAAATGTGAAATTCCTGTTTTTTCCAAGGCTTCTAGAAAATGTAACAGTAGGTAAGTGGAAGAAGTACTATTGTTTTTGTGTATTTCAATTTCTGATTTTATTGCCTAAAAATTTTATTCTATTTTACTTCCTAAACATTCCCCAATCCTGCCTCCTCCTTCCCCACAGGCTGCCATTTGTCTAGTTGGGGATTTACCCAGGGTGTATGTAGTTTTCCTTCTGTGTCTCACCATCTCTGCGTGGAGAAATGACTAAGCCTTCTAGCTGGTCTCCCCACCTTAGCATCCCCATCAGGTCTGCGCTCCAAAGGCTCATGTCTCTGCCCTCTGGGACTCTCTTGTTGACGGGATGACGTGCCCATTTCTCAGGGCGTAAAGCCCCCACGTCGAGTTCCTGCAGTCTGCATTTTTGACACTTCCTCTTTGTCCCCTGATGTATCACTTTTCATGAACCTGTATAACATTTAATTGCCCCCATTCACCATTTGGATGCTCAAATTGTCCCCTCTGCCTAAAATTCTTTCCTCCCTCTGGATTCTTTCTTATCCCTTCTGCTTGAATAACTACTAATCATCCCTCAAGACTCAGTTCAGGCACCAATTCCTCCAGGGAGCATCTGTGACCCTTCCCCCAGTGCTCCTACAATACACTGCTCACCTCACTGTGGCTATCATGTGGGTGTCTTTGTTGTGTGTACAGACGCCACCCTCCTTCCCTAGACAGGGTCTTAGGCTCCTTGCTGTCTTACTTCATTCTGTTTCCGACTCATATGTCTCGATAAACAAATCTGCATGTATCAACGCAGATCACTCTGCCTACATTGTTCATCTGACAATTTAGTTCTACCTCATCTCTTGTATTAGTGTTATTTAACTTTTGATGTGTGTATGTATTGCCACCTCCACCAAGAATCACGTTCCTTAATGACATAGGCTTCTGCATTTCCCATAGCAAAGTGTCTGACACATACTAATAATAGCTGTTTACTCGTAGTAGAGCAGTAGTAGAGTGTGGTGGTTCCTGTGAGCCCAGGTACCTGCCTGGCTTTAAATCTTAGCAGTACTGTTGATTAGTTAAGCAAATGTGGAAAGGTCATTTAACCACTCTTTGCCTCAATTTTCTATAAAGTGGGAAGAGTGATAATACCCATTTTAAAGAGTTGCTAAGAGTATCAAATGGTAGGCAAAGTGATTACATAGAAAGAGCTCAATACATGATAGACATTATTTTAGTGTATTTATTGGTGAAACTATACTCTGGGTAAATCCTGCCTCTTGGGCTCTCATATATTTCTCTGCCCTCCCAGCAGCCTCCCAGCCTCGTCCTTCACCTGACACCTCTCACATTTGGCTGGTGTTTTAGGGCCCCCCCCTGGGACAATTCTTTAACTGCCTCCTTTTGCTTCCAGCCCTGGTCAGTTCTTCCAGAATTTCAGACCCTTCACCAAAGTGTTCCCATCAACTCATTTAAGTGCTTCATTCCAGACCTCCTTTTCTCTCCTCCCTGTTGGAATAGCTCAGCTCTCCTTCCCAAGGGGTAGAGGTGAGTCTGGAGTGGCAGGAAATGGGCTGCAGTTCCCAAACTAAGACCTTGGCTGGGGTGTGTTTGGATTTTGTTTTACCTGAATTGCTGGGCTAGTCCCAGAGTGAAGTCGTATACTCGGAAATTTCAGTTCATGAACTGTCGCCATCAATTTTTAGTTGAGTGATTCATTTAGTCACTTAATTTCTCAGAAGCTATTGGTACCTACTTCATGGGTACAGCACTAAGCTAAGCTTAGTGAAACAGTTGCTTTTCAGGGAGAAAATCTCAAAACATCAAGGAAAGAAAAATGTTAAGTAACAACTGCATTTACAATTAAGAGCCTGGAGGCTGGAAGGATGTCTAGTTGACGTTGTAAGTGTGACAGATACGCCATGTACCTGGTAAATTGAGAAGTACAGCAACCCAGTATCTTATTCTTTTAAGTGTTAAGAGGTTGCAGGGGAAGCAGCTCTTTCTCCAGCTTTCCACTTACCTCTGCAAACACATAGGGTGCATCAAACTGGAAGCAAACGTGGCCATGTTTGATGGCTTGAACAGAGGCTGGACCACACCGATACATCCCTGCATCACACAGAAGAGAGAGATTATGAGTCTGGTATCTTCTGTGCTGTCCAGATAAGGACAGCTAAGTAGCAGTAAGTATGGCTCTGTAGAGACAAGTGTTCCTCAACCTCACCTTGAAATAGCCCCAAAGCTTTCCTGGGCCACAGAGAATGAACGACCAACATGTGTAATCAAGAGGTTTTTGTTGGAAATGCCCCCTCAGATTAAAATTCGAAGCCTTGGGAAGAACGTAGGGCATGACTATTCCTGAGTGTATCCTTCCACCTATGAACGTATACTCAGGTGTATCTGTGCCAAGCTGTTGGTTTAACATAAGATTTATCCTTTCACAGCCAATGTCTGGGATGTCGGAAATGGAGACGTGCCTTCAGCGGATGCATTGTTGCATGCTTGTTTTGATTTTTGTTTTTGGACACAAAGGGCATATAAGTTTGACTGGATAACTTAAACATTGACCACACACATTCACCAATGCCCAGCATACATTCAGGAGGTCAGTAGACCCATCTTTACTTTTATAAAGCCCTTTAAATTTTTACCAGTTATCTCTAACTAGTAAGAGATTAACTGCCATTAGTCACCTCTGAAGTCTCCACATGATATACAATCCAGAACACTAGGACGTGTAGAAACTTCCTCCCTTAAAATCCAGTGTTAGAATAAGATTCTTTGATGAATGTGTAATGAATGTTTATTATATTTGTCTATATACATACACCAAAACCTCATATCAATACCTGAGGAAATAAACAGAATGGTCTGACTTTTATCACCATATTAAAGAGACATGGAGACTTAGGATGTGATTTTATAAAAATTTGGAGGAAGTCTTGGCTGCTGCTGGTCCCTCAGCATCGTTGGCAAGATGGACGACAATACCCATGTACTCAAATTTTGAAAGAAATCACACACACACAAAATCAGGTTCTGGGAAAACAGTAGTTAGTTTAAAGGATGATCTGTAATTATTTTCTGAGTTCTTTACTTTCCTTACTGTCTTACATGTTATCATCGAGTGTCAGGGAGGGCTGAAGTACATTTTATAGCCTAGTAAAAGTGCTTACACAGGTATTTTTTTTTCCCTTGTCTCTAAGTCTGCTTATCAAAGCAAGAGTGGATGACTTACATATGTTAAGTTTTACATTCTTTTTCTAAAGTTATAAAATAATCATGGTAAAGACGACCATTGAAATTAAATTAAACCTGACTGGAAGGTAGTGAATACTGTACGCGAGCCCAGGAAGCACACTGCTGCTGTTGTTTGCTGATGAGAGTATTTCCCACACATCAAATGTAGTCATAAAAGCAAAGAAAAGATCTCAGGGAAACAATTTTCCCAAGGGAGGATGGAGTTTTACCGTCACTATTTTCCTGGGGGGTGCTGTCCACGGCTTGCCAACCTCCAAATCCAACAGGAAGGTCAGACCTCTTCATCCAGGCTTCATTCCAGCAGTGGTAGTTCCTTAAGAAACAACAGTGAGATTAAACTTCCCATCATATTCAATGCTCCAATAAATCCAAAAGTGACCCCAAATCCTGTGAATATGCTCTCTATAGGTTGTTGGACTGGATTAAAGTACGTTGAGGACTCGAGGGATAGTCTGGACTTGAATTTGTTGTTGAGATCCATTTCCGATGCCAGGGGGGCACTCAGGTGGCAGGACATTGCTCTGGGTCTGCTAATATCAGCTTCAAGGCCACCCAGAGATATTCTAATCAGTGCATTAAACAGTTTTGATATTAATTATTCTTTGCAGCATAATGAAACAGAACTTACTACATGCTAACGAAGTAGGGAAGAAAAATTAATTGAAACCAAAATACATGTATCTCTGGATTTCTTTTATATTTATATTTATGTATACTAGATTTATAAAAAGCACATCTCTTGCAATAAGCAATATAATGCTTGTATTTATGGGCTTAGATTATTGCCATAACATTAACTCCTGACTACAATTGTTTATAATTTGTGGCAAATTTCCATTTGGTGTTCAATGAGAAGAAAAGGGTGTCGGGGAGAATGTCTTTTTACCCTTTAGCAAAGGCACCAACCCACGAGCTGAGAGCCATGCAAAACTTGTCAGGACTTTGCACATGACCCTTGAGTCAAGAGCGTGGAATTAAATGTCATCACGAATTGTATTATTATGTCCTTGGAAAGACTTGAAATTATATGACAGTACAGAAACAAATGAGAGCACATTAACCTGTCCACATTATAGAAAATATTCATATAGTAATAACGATTTAATGGTGGGGTGAGGTAGTTACAGCAGTCTTTGTTTATAACACTGATTAATTTCAGATCCAACTACTATCCATCCTTTCCCTAAATGACCTTCATGTCAGTAATTTGTGCATGTTCCCATCTCTCTCTGAATTCAGCTCATCATTGATGGGCTCAGTTCAGAGGTATTCATTTCACTATGTACCCATTACATACCAGGCACCATGCTAGGTATGGAAACTCAGTAATGATCAAGACATAAGTTCTTGCCCATAAAGCCCCTCCCAATTTAGGAGGAACGTCAAACAGGCAAACTAATTGTTAAAACATTTCAGAGGTTTACTGTGAGGTTTAAACAAGATGATACATGTAAAGCACTTAGAAGAGGGCCTGGCATGTGATAAGTGCTCCAAAATGGTAACTCTCAGACTTTTAAAAATAATTAATTGAAGTGATGCATGTTACAGTGGAGATTAATTTGGGGTGCAATGGGATCTCAGTGGGGAAATTCTCAGGGCATTGAGGATATTTAGCTGAGTTCTGGAATATAAATGGGGGTTTAGTAGGTCAACAAAAGGACTAGGAACAACTTTGTGGGGGCTGCTTATTGTGAGTGAAGGGTAGCACATCTGCATATTTGGGTGCATGGGAGAAAAGTGATGGCAGATGAGGGTGGGCAGTGAATTACAAGACCAATACCCATATAACTTATTATGTGCCAGGCACTCTCCTAGAATTTTTATGTACATTAACATGAGTTCCTAGCACCCTCTGAGAAAGCTACCATTGTTATTATCTGTACTTTGTAAGGGAGGGAAATGAAGCACAGAGAGGTTAAGAATCTTGCCTGAGGTCACACAGCCAATTAGTGATAGAGCTCTAGGGTCCATGCTCTTACACACTGATCTATGCTATAGATTGTGAGATCCGCTTATCCCAATTAAACACCTGAGCTTTATTCTCGGGCAAGTTAAATTTGCAAATCTGTATTTTTGGAAGGTGAGTGGAAAGGCAAGATGGAGACTGAGCAGAGTTATCACCACGGAGAGGGAGAGGAGCCATCGGGAGGTCTGAGTGACCGGCTTGGGGAGGTGTGAGGGAACTGGATGAGCTGAGGAAGACTTTCCCATCTCCAGGGAGCATGGTGGCTCCATTTACATTTACCAAGATTGAATGGAGGAGAAAGAGAAGAAAGTTTGTGTTGGGGGTGGATGTCGGGTGGGTAACAGGTTCAATTTTGGATGCGATGAACTCAAGTGCCTGTGAGAAATTCAGGAGGTGAAACCCGAGAGGGAGCTTTATATGCATCTGTGACGTTTGGGTTGTGGTGAAGAATTTACTGGAGTCCTTACCGGTGAGGGAGGGGAGTCGGGGCAAAAGCCAGGGGAGCAGTGAATGGGAAGGGGGAAGAGGCAGTGGGGATTTCTCCCCTGAATGTGATCTAGGTTGTGATGGAAAGAAGAGGAAATAGGGCAATGGCCAGACAGTCGTACAAAGCAGGGAGAGTTGATGTGATTATTTTCATGTTAGGAGAGATGGTTTTGCTTATGAAGGAAGAGTAGAGTTAGAGCGGACATAGAGAGACAATAAAGAGACAGATGGAGCGGAAGAGGCTCAAATCCCCAAGCGGATGAAGTCAGGGGCAGGCCCACGGGCGGGTGTGGAAGCGAGGGCTGTCTGCAGGGGTGTGGGGTGCAGATGTAGATCACAAGTTGTGAAGGGGTCGGGGCAGGAATGGGAGGTTGGTTCCCACCTGGGGGCCTGTATCTGACTCTGAGGCCGGAGGGACCTGAGTATGAAGCGATGACTGCTGCCCTCCCTTTGGAACAGTGATGGTTGCATCATCAAGCTGAGAGACCCAGGAAAACCAGCAATGGAACAGCTGAGGCCCCAAATGGACCCAGTACACGACTCAGGGTGTTTAGCAACCCTGGCTTTCCCCGTTACACCACCACCCTAGATTGATAAGCCCTAGAACTTCTTTATTTAAATCTAAATATCGGCAAGGTTAGCCTTGAACAAGATAAACAAGCTTTGCATTTTGGATATCAAAGACTTTTCTTTGAGGTTAGTATTTCTTTTCAAATGACTAGGAGATGAGGAAAGGTTTCTTTTCTCTCACTATGGCATCAAATTAGGTACTTTATTCACTTTCACCTGAGACCAATCTATGTATTTCAGGTGGAATTGTTTAATAAGAGGGTCAGAGACTTGTAGGCAATGGGTGAGGTGGACAGACCTCACCATGTGCTACCCACCTCACCCCACTGTCTGCAAGTTCCAGTGGGCTTGGGGCTTAGTCAACAATGGCTGGGCTCCCAGATTGGCCGTGAACAAAGGGAGAGGGTGCTACTCTGGCGCTGTGGGGATTTTTTTCCCATCATTCCATTCTCCCTGCTCAGGAAAGGCCAGGGAAAGTGTGTCTTGAGTTACCCATGCCACAAGGGTATTTCTGGGTACACGTGCTTGTCATTTCTATCTCAAGTTCCCACATGAAAAGGGACTAATATTTACACATGTCTGAATTCCATTTACCTGCTTTCCAGTTTGGGAACTATAAATGTTTCCTAAAAGGTTATTTCTTAATTTCGAAGCTTCTTTATCTGGATCCATAAAAGTCTCTGTTCTCATTGCACAGTTTCACCATGCATATGTGGGGTGAAATGGATTCACTTTTGGGGCTCTGTCTTATTCACTATCACACAGCCAGCACTAGAACTGACCCTTGGGAGGTGCTCACAAAGTACTGGTTGATTGAAAGGGGGAACTTCTCCTAGCAGGGCAGGTGTAATTAAACCTTTGTTTGTTGGTTTTTAAGATTCATGGTTTATATTCTCTCAGAGCCTTTATTTGAAACCTGACTTCCCACTATACCATCACCAGGTACAAAAAGTGTCCCTTTCAAGTTAAAAATTATAAACCTTCAAAATGATCTAGTTTCCTCTTACTAAAGAATCAGTGTAGAAATTAAAATAAAGCCTCCCTTTCATTTACTGTTATTTAATCAAGTTGAAAATAACATTTTAGGGGGATAATTATGAAGTTGACAAGTGAAGAACACATCTTTGCTTTATGTTATTTCCTGTATGCTTTCTGCAGTGACAGCCAGTGATTCCTAGAACTCTTTTCAAGGATACTAATAATTCAGCAGTACTGGCACAAAGGACCCAGAAAATTTTCACCAAAGGCAGAGCCTCACAAGAAAAATAGCTCCATGCCTTGCTGGAGGACCCTTAAAGGGACATCTGGCATTTAGCTCATCCTTGGACTCAGTACACCCCCTTTCTTGGAATTTGCATACAGGAAATAATCATTCAAATTCAAAGCCAAGTACAGAAAAATGTTCATCCTTTCATTCTTTGTAAGGAAAAAAAATCAGCAACAGCCTATCCAAAATGTGGTTAATTATTTTGAAACATGAAGTACAATACTATTCAGACATAAAAACAGATCTATATTTATTAAGTAGGAAAGATGTATGCATATAATTTTAAAAAATCATATTACAGAACATTATATATAGTATAGCAGTTCATTGTGTATATATGTGTGTGTGTGTGAAAGTCAGAATTTTAAATTACCCCCAGCTTTGTACAATTCTTTCCCCTTGATGAAATCTATGAATAGGGTGGGATATCACTCCTGTGATTATGTTAATCTACATGGCAAAGAGCATTTTGCAGGTTTAATGACAATCAATCTGTTGACTTTGAGTTGATTTTAAGGGGAGGTATCCAGGTGGGCCTGACCTAATCAAGTGAGCTATTTTAATCTGGGTCTGGTTGTTGGAGACAGAGCAAGCCAGAGGTTTGAAGCAGCAGAGACATTCTCCTGCTGGTCTCAGAGAAGATGAAGCTTTCATGAGTTCTGCAGCTGCAAGGAACGGAATTCTTCCAAGAACGTGAATGATCTCAGAAGAGAGTTTTGAGCATCAGATGTGACCACAGTTCCAGCTAACACTTTGATTGCCACCGTGAGACTCTGAGCAGAGGACCCAGTTAACCTGTGCCCAAACTTCTGACCCACAGAAACTGTTTGATAATATATTTGTGTTGTTTTAAGCTGCTAAGTGTTTGGTAATTTGTTATGCAGCAATAAAAAATGAATACAATATACAAACAGACATATTAAAGAATGCCTAACAAAATATTGAAATTGTTCTGAGTAGTTGGAAAGTATAACTCTAACTTTTGTAATTTTTCTGCAATATTTAATATTTTTATAATAAACGT